GTTATGGATCGTTTCTGAAGTTGCAGGAATGTTAATCTGTGTTTTCTGTTATTGTAGTAGATCTCTTTCCCATAAATTCATGGCTACATATGCCACATACAGTCAGAGTCTTCCCGTTTGACCTTTTAGTCCTATACCTTAATCCATTTTAGACCTTGTTTTACCTGAGACAGTGTCCCAATTCCTAGGAGCTGGGTAGATAGATGCCTTTTGAAGTGGCAAAGCTGGATTCCAGGAATCTTGGGAAATTATCATTGCATCTGCCGTGGCATCAAAGAGTGTTCATGCTTTCAACCCTGATCAGGGCCTCTGTTCGTGTTTGTTTTAGGAGGGCCAGTGGAAAGGCCTCTTCAGGTCCGTTGGAGGAATTACCCCTGGCCAAGCAGGTGGTCGTAATTCCAGTTTGTTAATTGAGCAGGGGGTTTGGCCCTTGTTGTAGTCCCACCTGTTGATTAAGTATTTTATGTTTCTAAGCTGTGGGTAGTTGTGTCCTGCACCCTGAGATTATAAAGCTGGCTGTGGGGGGAGGTGCCGCAGGTGGAGATGGCCTTGCACTGTTGCAGCTGCAGGAGTGGGGGAGGGTTCCTCTCACTGCCTTTGAGAGCCTTGGTCTTTCTAGGGTTCTTGCTCTCCGTGGCCAACGGGAGTCAGGGTCTTTGTTCTCTGTGGCCAGTGAAGGCTCCAAAGGGAGGTAGAGAGGGGAGGGCTGTTGTGGACGGGAGAGTAGCTTTTGCTTAATTAAATAAGTCGTCCTATGTGGAATGTGGCTAGGGGCATCCCTGTCTAAGGACACTCTCCAGATGAAGTCAGGCGGAGAGCAGGGGGCCCTGCTGGGGAGAGGCAGCCCTGTCTAGACTAGGAGGACTGCGACCTCGAACAGCAGGTCCTTCCGGCCACAAACTAAAGGAAATCTAAAATCTTGAGCTTGGAACTATGATGGTGGTCGCGTAGTGGAATGTTGTTTTTGTTTTTGTTGTTGTTTTTCAGAGTTAGATTAATAAATTCTAGTGAATAATGTCAAATCTCTGAACAGTCTTAATACAACAGTAGCATAGCAGCAGGAAGAAATCTGAAGCATTTTTATCTGTTTATCTCTTTTGGATACCTGAAATCATCTTTTTAGACCCTCCAACCTTCAGAACTTGTATTTACCAACCTTAAAACACCTTTTAGACCTACCTTTGTAACTTGTATTTACCGGCCTTCAAACACCCTCTTCAACCTTCAACTACTTTCTTTAGAAGCTTTCTTTTGTACCTTTCAGTTATAAACCTTGCAACAGCTTTTTTAAAAAGATTTACTTATTTGTCATGTATACGGTGTTCTGCCTGCATGAGATCTCACTATAGACGGTCGTGAGCCACCATGTGGTTGCTGGGAATTGAACTCAGGACCTCTGGAGGAGCAGACAGTGCTCCTAACCTCTGAGCCATCTCTCCAGCCCTTGAACCATCTTAGACCCTCAAACATTTTTTTTTTTTTTAGATCCTCATTTAGGCTTCTGTGTCCTTAGATCTTGTGCTCAATTATTTACCAGGAGACACAGGTGAGACTGCTGGAGCAGCTGTCCTTCAGGGAAAGGAATGGTGGAAGGGTACCTCCGAGACCCGTTTTTTGATTCTGGTAAAAAGGCAGGCTGTGTCTAGACCTAGTGGTAGTATCTCCAGGATAATGAGGCCGAAGGCCTGGTCCCCTGCACATGAGGAGGACCGAGAAGGCATCTGGAGCCTGTTCATCTTTAACATGAGGTCTGTGAGTAAGGCTAACCTGTTTGCCTTTTAAACGAGAGATCTCGTAGTTGGTAGTTTTAACCAGCTAAAGAACTGACTAATGAACTAACATAGTGGAACACCTTGGGATAAGGAGCTAATTGCCTGTTTTCTAGCTGTGACGCTACTGTTAGCTTCAACATAATCAGAGACCTGAGAAGGATAAATTGTTACCTAAATGAATCTATATATTAATCAAAATAACAGAGTCCATAGTCCACTACCTAGACAGTTGTCCAGGTCTCCTTGGCAACAGGAGCAGAGACAAGCCTGGCCTTCAGGCACCGAACCCCTGTGCTTTTTTTCTGTGGAAGGAGAACATGGGAGAGACTGACCTCACCTCGTTTTCAGCAACTGGAGACACTAACTCCGGGAGTCCAGTTTGTCCACAGTTCAGGCTGGCCCCAGCAGTAGGCAAGGCATTGGGAGCAGTCTGCCCAGTGGTTAACATACCACAGTCCAGGATTGAAATCATCTGTCTTTGTGTCCCCAATCTTCTTGGAGACTTTAGGAGTTACTGTCAGGATTTGGGGGTCTCTATCTGTCATGATAAGCTTAAGCATGTTAAAATGCCATATTCATCAGGTCTGTGGCAGGTTTGAAGGCTAACATATTTGAGTTAAGCGATCTCCGTTTGTCTTTAGTTATCTGCTCCAGGTTACACCTTGTAAACATAAGACATAATTATATAATGTCCTGTAGGTGCTTGAGGATCACACCTATTTCCAGTAGATGTAAATAGACAAACTTTTTGTCTAGTTTTTCTAGACAAACTAGAAACAAGCTTGTTTCTAGTTACTTTGCTGCCAGTCATGTGACCGCCCTTAGTCAGGATGGGGTGACTCCATGCCTCCGCTCTGTTTACCAGAGTCAGCCTGGCAGCTGGCCACGTGGCGGCCATCAGTGTTGCTGCTGCTCCCTGTTAAGTTGGAGCCTTAAAAACCAAACGTGGTCCATAAAAAGAGCGGAACAGTTTTTTGTATGATTTAGTTTATAAAAGTCTAAGGCTATACTGGTAAATTAATGACATTACCATATTCGGAAAACAAGGCTAAATGTATTTCTAAGGTGGTGATTTTTAACCTTTTTTGAGAGTGAAGATAGACTGTGCCTAATGACTAAGTTTTGACATTGTAAACAGTTGAATGTCTCTAGAATGAATATAACCAATTTAAAAGCATTTCTGTAATTATGTCTTATGGTTTAAAATTATTTAAGCAAAAGTTTTAAACTGTTGACCCTGGATTTTAAAAACATGCCTGGGTCTGAGAAAGGCTGAACAATAATCCGTTTCTAGAGCCAGTGATACAGTAGACCAGTATAAAACAACTTTAAAATTACATTTGAATTTATTATACCAGATCTATTGGCCAGGAAATCTGGAATTGAACCCAGAGCACAGGCAATGGCAGCAGAAGAAACAGCATTTATTTATAAATAAAAAAATTAGCAAAGACATACTAGTTAGACATATATTTTAGTTAGCTTGTTAATCTGAATAGACTTTTACAACCTTGAAAGTTTACTGTCATACAAAAAAAGTTTAAACCAGGAATATACAGTATATCATAAAAAGTATAACTTTGAATTTTTATAAAAATCCATACAAATTTAAGAAGAGACCTGTCCCTTTCCTTCGGAGATGAAATAATGAATGGAGAGTTAATTGTGACAAGGAAGTTTTCTAAGTGTTGCTTCATGCCTCGTGGCCATTTTCAGATGCTGTAGTCACATGGCAGGCTTGTAGTTTACAGGATAATCTTCAGGTATTTTTTCATTTTTATTTTTTGAGAGCAAAGAGGAAAGTCTTTAGAGTTGGGAAGTAGAGTCTTAGAGATAAGAGTCTCTTGGGAAGAGCAGAGTTTAGATACTCGGGAACCATCTGTCTTGGTCTTAAGATTTTGAAAATTTGGTAAGGCAATGTTTGGCCTGTGGATGCAGCCAGAGTTTGTAACAGAGTCCATTGCGGGTGTGGGGGGGAGGGCATCACGGGGAAGCCCTGTCCCTGTCACCAGCGGCAGGAGGGGCATGCAGCAGCTAGCGAGCAGCAAGCCAGCGGTCCGGTGGCCAGGCCATGTGGAGTAATCTCCAAGTAGAAAGCAGAACCGGGTTAGCAGACCAGTGGAGCCAAAGAAACAGACAGGTGGTCCGCACATACCCAGAAGTGATCTACAGAAAGCCGGCTACGTCGAGGCAGCATGCTGGTGTGGCAGGCAGGGCAGCCACCCACGCAGCCAAGCCGGCTCCGGCTGCCGCATGCTTGAAGCACGGTGTGCGCGTGAGAGCAACCAGGCAGTGTGAAACGGCTGTGGAGCAGGGAAAGTAAAGGCACAGAGAAAGAGATTTTAGTGTTCTCCCGGTGGCCTGGGCGGTGTGTCGTGAGGTCCTGAAAAAGCGGCCTAATGGGCAGAGCTTGGAAGTCCGAAGGGGAACATGCCGTTCCATGGGTGAAGAGAAAAGTAAATTAGTTCAGCCAGCCTCGGGGCATCCCCTGAGTAAAGGGGAACTAAGGACAGAAACGGCGCAAGCTGGCAGAGCAGATCTCTGCCAGGGTCCCCGTGGGGGATGCCCACATAAGCACGGTTTCTCCTGGTGCCAGAAGTTTTCTGTACAAGAGAGAGAGAAGGGGTAGAGAAGAACCACCCAGCGGGGAAACCGTACTGACTCAATTGGGCACACCTATCGGTTGGTGGCACGGAAGGAAATTTGTTGCTGCCAGGAGAGCCCGGCCGAGTCTCACGGTGCCAAAGTTAGCATTAAGAAACCCAACACGGGGCTGGAGAGATGACTCAGTCATTAAGTGCACTAGCTTCTCTTCCAGAGGACCTGAGTTCAATTCCCAGCAGCCACATGGCAGCTCCTAGCTGTCTGTAGCTCCTGGTCCAGGGCATCTGACCCCCCCCCCACACACACACACACGTACATGCAGTCAAAAGACCAATGCACATAAAATACAAAAAAGAAAATTAAAAAAAAAAAAAAAAAAAAGAAGAAACCCGCCACAATGTATTTAATATAAGGAAAAAAAATGTATTACCAGACAGAGGAGGGGCACTGCAGAAAGGAGAAAAACCGAGAAAGTCAGAGAGAGACAGACACGAATTGCGCTGGCGGCTGGTGATGATGTCAGGTTGCTAGGCAACCCCTAGAAGCAGGCTATTGGCTTGTAACTATTACAGGATGCCCCCCCCCCCCCCACGGTGGTTCAGGGTTGTGGTTTTTCTTCTGCAGGACTGTGGGCTGCAGCTGAGCGGCGAAGAGGGGCGCCGCTGCTACCCCCTGGAGGGGCACCTGCTCTGCCGCCGCTGCCACCTGAGGCGCCTCGGGCAGGGCCCGCTCCCCTCGCCTGCTGTGCACGTGACTGAGCTCTGAGAAGCAGCCGTCAGAGGGAGGGGTGACCGTGCCCTCCTCTCCCCTCTCCACCCAGCTGCTGTTCCTTCCGCAGGGGCCGGACCCCAGCGACCAAGAAGCGATTTCTATTTATTCACCTTCCGTGCCTCACTCAAGCCACTTCCCTGCTGGATTCCAGGACAGCCGCTCCCCAGGCCACCTTCCTCAGAGGCAGGGCCTGGAGGGCCTTGGCGCCGGTGGGCACGCCTTGCTTGTGTGCGATCACAGAGCCGGGGAGCAGTGACAACCTGGGAACACCACGATTTGGCCTTGGTGGGTGTTTTCAGCAGCATTTCCCCGCTGCTCTGGATCCCGGTTCTGGTGCTTTTGTAGCATCCTCAGTCCCTGAAGACCCTGGGCAGAGCCAGAAAGAGAGAGAGCTCGGGAGAGGGCTGCCTGTACTTCCGGCGGGAGCATCTGTGCGTGCTGTATCAGACCCCACCACGAAAGCATATAATGACTTAAATTAAGTTTCTTTCTTTCTGGAGGATGTTTGCATTTTCTTTCAAAGAATAGAGTTTTCTTCTAAAAGCGTGGGCCAAGGTGGTTATTTCTTAGTCACGTCAGGCTCACCCGTGGACACAAGTTCCTGCACCATGTAGCCAGAGTTGAGGTGGTAAGAATGTTTGAGGCCCTAACTATCTATGCACAAATTCCCCTAAAGTCTGGCCGAATCTGCTTCAGATTTCAGTGGGCGTTGTGTGTCAGGGTCTCACGGGAAGGGATCTCATGAGCTTCAGACACGGTGGGTGTGAATTAGATTTTCTTTGCAGAGAGAATGGTCCTGGGCACTGGGAAGTAGTGATGAGGGTTTGGAGCACTGTGCCACGGCCCTGGGCCGGTAGACTCGGCACGTGTCCCGTCTGTTGGCAAGGAGCCTTTGTTGTCAGCGAGAGCACTGCCAGTTCTCTTGTGGTGGCGCTTTCGTTTGGCTCTGCTTTTGCCCCTGAGCGTCCCGCATGAGCCTCGGGAACAGTGCGCTACGTAAGTGTTTGCAGAATCATTTGACAGGACTGAGCACTAGTGTAGCGTTACCAGGGAACCCAGGGGGTCACCTCCGTCTCACTCTGGGAGTCTAGAAGCGGGCCAGCCGGTGGTGGCACACGCCTATAATAATCTCAGCTCGCAGAGGCAGAGGCAGAGGCAGCCTGGTCTACAAGGTGAGTTCCGGGGCAGCCGGGGCTACACAGAGAAGCCCTGTCTCAGCACAACTCACAGTCAGTCTTTTTAAGTCCCATAAGATGTTTAAATAAAAGCTAGTGGGCAGCTGTCCCACGTGTGGTCCCCAGCCGCCGCCACATCGTCAGATTCCCCAAGGCTGAGTGCACCTTCATAAGAGAGTTCACTCCAGTGGTGTCACACCCAGTGGTGCTGAGAGAAGTGGGCTTGCACTCCCAGCCATCTTCCTTCTCGGCTGGCCCAACTGGCCTACCTGGGCTGGCTTGCTTCTTTCCTACAATGGTCTGCCTGCATGTACACCTGCACGCCAGAAGAGGGCATTATAGGTGGTTGTGAGCCACCGTGTGGTTGCTGGGAATTGAACTCGGGTCCTCTGGAAGAGCAGCCAGTTAACCTCTGAGCGGTCTCTCCAGCCTCTGGGGAGAGGGGCTTTCTACCGGAGTTTGGACATGGGTCTGAAGAATGGCCACATTCCTAAGCCGAGTGGGTCTCAGTCAGGTCTTGTTGGCGTTGAAGCCAGGTGTAAGTGTGATCCCGCCAGCTCAGAACTCCAGTGGGCATCTCCTTTGTTAGTTTGTTGAGACAGTGTCTCCCTATGTAGCACAGGCTGCAGTTGAACCCACAGTCCCCCTGGCTCAGTTTTCCAAGTGCTGAGATCACAGGCATGAGCATTGATTGGGGCATACTTAACCGAGGTTTGCTAGAGGCCGGCCTCTGACTAGAGCCCTCACCGTGGCTGTGAGCAGGGGCTGCCTCTGACCCCGCCCACGGAAACACTTTCTTTTGTTTCCTTTCTCAGCAAAACCTTCTGTCTCTCTCTCTGCCTTCCGTCCATCCATCCACCTACATCTCTCTGTCAATCATCTATCTATCTGTCATCTGTATCTTTCATCAATCTGTCATCTATCACCTATCATCAGTCTATTATCTTACTATCATCTGTCTATCATCTGTCTGTCTGTCTGTCTGTCTGTCTGTCTATCTACCGTTATCTCATGAGATGGCCTCACGTAGCCCAGGGAGGCCTCAAACCTGCTATGTAGCGGAGGTTACTATAGTTTGTTTCTTTTTTAAGTTATTTTTTATTATTATTTTAAATTATGTGTAGCTGTGTGTGTGTGTGTGTGCGCGCGTGTGTGTGTGTGCGCGCGCGCAGGTACGTACGTGTTGGTGCAGATGCCCGTGGAGGCCAGCGACATCGTCTCTGGAGTTACAGATGGTTGAGCCCAGGCCATCTGCTCGAGCGCTCTTAACCACCGAGCCATCTTTGTCGAGCCTCTCCATTTCCTTTCACATTTGTACTTACTCACTGTGAGGAAGGGCACTTGTGCACTTTGATGAGCTGCCAGCCTGTGGAGCACCACGCAGCACTGTCGTAATTGCCGCAAAAATTAGTGGAAAACTACAAAATACAGCAAACTGTGCTGCCCGTGTGTGCAAGTCCACTCCAGGAAGGGGAATGATGCACTGAGAACCTTACGGCTGCTTAGCACCAGTGGGCGTGTGCTAGTAGCAAAGACAGCTAGAAGATAAATTATGTATAAAATATACATTATACATGTGTGTGTGTGCGCGCGCGTGTGTGTTGAGGAGTCAGTTTTCTTGTACCGTGTGGAGGCCGGTGTTGAACTGTGGTCATGGGGGCTTGGTAGCAAGCACCTTTATCTCCGGAGGCATCTGGCCAGCCCTACAAGTACAATTCTGAAAATTGGTTATGCCTGCACGAGCAGCTGAAGAAAAGAGTGAAGAGATCATGAGTGTTTCTTATCCCCCCCCCCCCTTTGGTTTGTTTTTTCAAGACAGGGTTTCTCTGTGCAGCCCTGGCTGTCCTGGACTCAACTTTGTGGCCCAGGCTGGCCTCAAACTCACAGAGATCCACCTGCCTCTGCCTCCCCAGTGCTGGGATTAAAGACAGGCATCAGCGTGCCTGGCATTCTTTTCTTCTCTTTTTTATTTTTTATTTTTGTTGTTGTTGTTGTTTGGACAGGATTTCACTGTGTATCTTTGGATGCTCTGGAGCTCGACATGTAGACAAGTCTTGTCTTGGACACACACAGATCCACCCACCTGCCTCTTCCTCCCAAATCCTGGGATTAATTCCTTTTGAGACAGGATCTCACTGTGTCGCTGAGGCTGGTCTTGAGCTCCTGGCTGAGCAGTTCTATTGTCTCAGTGTGGGGTGTCCGCCTGAGAGGACTGCTCAGATATGGTTTAAGCCAGTAGGAAGTCTTCATTAGCTGGCCAGTGACTACCCTGTGTATTCAGATCCCCCTGTAGCCCCAGGCCCTCCTCAGGGTGAGCTTTTAAGCACAAAAACCATGTAATGGGTTGACATACTTCAGTTAACAAGAACAGTTAGCCAGAAGCAGAACTACAGAAGCCGAAAAGCGAGGTTAGTACATTTAGAGACTTTCCCAGAACTATGGGCTTTGATGGATCAGGTCTTTGCTTTGGTTTTGGTAGGTGGTGCTGTCTACGTGCTGAGTTTTATAGCCTGAAAGGCTCTTCTATCATGGAGTCAGTTGTGCTAAGGTCTGGGTCCCTGTTACAAGAATCCAAAGTGACTGGGACTACAGGTATGTACCATTGAGCCTGACTATTTCACTTGCGTATCCTTAAGTCACAAGGACTGATACTTTGATAAACACATTATATTATAATGATGGCTGCAGTCCATCCCATTCATAAGAATAATATCAGTATAATGGGAAAGCATAATAGTCCAGTGGTAGGCAGGGTAGAGGGAATGACAAAAGATGGCATCCTTGAGTGACTACAGAATGGCACATCAGACTTCGGAAGGAGGGCCAAGAGTTCTTGAGCCTTTAAGAACTGTATGTTTGGCCAGGAGCTCCAGAGCCTTGGCCTTGGCAGTGGTGGCTCGGGGAGTCAGCCAGGAGGAAGGATTAGATCCACACACAGATCCAGTAAACAAGGATGTAAATTCATTCACCAAAAGTCTGAGCAAGTTGTTGTGTGCAAGACCTGGAGAACTTGGGCATATCCTGTCTGTGAAAGTGGATTTGAAGCAGATGGTTTCTAGACCAGGGGCAGACTGAAGTCAGAGGATAGGGTCTGTCTACCAGGTTCTGCAGAGAGTTAGCGAGAGGGTGTGGTCCCATGTGGGACAGGACAGAGGCACAACTCCATGCTGTCACCCACAGCAGTCTTAAATGTTCCCTTTCTCTGAGACCCACTACTCACTGAGTATGGTGGCCTATGCTCTTAATCCCAGCACTCAGGGCACAGAGGCAGGCAGATCTCTGTGAGTTCCAGGCCAGCAAAGCTACACAGAGAAACCCTGTCTTCAAAAACCAAACGACACAGACGGCCTTTGTAGAGGACCTGCGTTTGGGTCCAGGGTACATTATACTAAGCTCACAGACCTTATCATGGCACACGATGTCAGAGACACCATTCTAACCTTAAAAGCCAGCACATAGGCCCCAAACACCTGCCAAAACAAAGACCTAAGGAGCCGTGGTTCCAGCAAAGTCCCTGTATGTGTTGACTGCTTTCAAGCTTCTGTAGTTTGGCTTCTTGCTCTGAAGTGACAAGCAGGATGTCGTTTGAGTAAGTAAAAGTCATAGGACTGTGCACTGTGCTCCAGGTGTTCCGCTTTTGTGGGCTGTCACTCCTGCTCAAGGATATTCTGCTGCTTCTGCTGGGATTTAAGGGTGTGGCCCCCAGAAATGGTTTCTTTTAAGATTTATTTATTTGAATTGTCTGTATAGATGCTTTGCTCACATGAGCGTCTAACCATGTGCACATGTGATTCCCATGGAGGTGAGAAGAGGGCGTCAGATCCCGGGAACTGGAGTTGCAGACGGTTGTGAGCTGCCATGTGGGTGTTGGGAATCAAACCTGGGTCCTCCGGAAGACCACTGAGCCAACTCTCCAGGGACTTTGTAGCGTGCATAGTGGAGATGTTATACCCTCAGCAACTGCTCATTGCCTCCTCCAAGCCTGATGGGTCATTTTCACTGTCAGCTGGCCTTAGAAGCACTTAGGAGACAGGCACACCTCCGTGTCTGCAAGGACATTCTTAAGGAGGATGAGCAGAGACAGGGAAGGGCCACCCAAGGGCAGGAGACACCATGCTGTGGGATAGGAGCCTGGATGGAGTAACGGGGAAGAGAGAGAGCCAGCAAGTACCAGCCTGGCTCCTCTCTCTGCCCCCTTACCCACCACCATCCCATTGCCACCCCAGCATACCAGCCCTCACTTGGAAAGCCGAGGTCAGATGAATCTGTCCTCCTCTTGCTGCCTCTCTCAGGTATTTGACCCCAGAGGAGGGAAACGCTAACAGGGTGACCTCACTCCTGGGAGCTGAACAAGCCAAGTTGTCTCCGGTGGCTGACTCAATCTCACTTAGCCCAATGTCCTCCGGATGACAGCCAGTGCTTTCGTCTCCATGTTTTAAAAAAAAAGATTTCCTTGGGGGCTAGAGAGATGGCTCAGTGGTTGAGAGCACTGACTGCTTTTCTAAATGGACCTGGGTCCAATTCTCAGGTCCCACATGGCAGCTCCCAACTGTCTGTAACTCCAGTTCCAGGGGCTTCTGACACACAGACACCCAAGCAGGCAGAACACCAGTGTACATAAAACAAAAATTCAAAACTCATTTAAAAAAATCCATTTTCATTTTTTTTCCTGTTCATTTCCCTGCATGTACGTGTGTATGTGTGTGACAAGCGTGCCTGGCGAGGGTGATTGTGAGATTGTGAGCTGCCTTGTCGGCGCTGGAAACTGAACTCCAGTCCCCTGGGAGATCATGAGGTGCTCTTCAGCCCCTCTTTTTTCAAAGCTTCGTGACGCTGCTCTCTTTGTTCCTGTCACAGACTATATGTGCCACGTCAGCTGCTTTTCTCAAAACCGTGACAAAATGCCTCATGCCAGCAACATCAGAAAAGCTGGTTTATCTTAGTTCACAGTTCAGGGTGGGGTACAGCCCTTCCTGGAGAGGAGGGCGCAGACGGGAAAGGCCCTTTGACACCCAGGCCGAGTTTGATCCTGGAAGTCATGGCACCGGGAGCCTGAGGCAGCTGTTCCCTGGTGTCAGGAAGCAGGAGGCTCCCGGTCCAGGTGTTGCTTCCCATATCCAGGATTAGCCCTTCATCTTTGCTTAATGATTAAAGTTTCTGGAAATGCTCCCATAGGCAAATCCAGAGGTGTGTTTCCATGGAGAGAGCAATTCAGGCCAGTCTGTCATGACGTATCACAAATTTTTTTTTTTTCAAGACAGGGTTTTTTTTCTTTTGAAGCCTTGGCTGTCCTGGACTCAATTTATAGACCAGGCTGGCTTCAAACTGACAGCTATCCACCTGCCTCTGCCTCCCAAGTGCTGGGATTAAAGGCGTGCTCCACCATGCCCAGTCACATTTTTTTTTTATCTGTCCCTTGAGAAACATTTAAGTTATTGCTCTATTTCTGTGACTGTAACCAGTTCTGCTGTGAACACAGATAGGCAAACTCTCTTTGAGGTCTCACTCCCTCCCCCCGGGAGAGTCTCACTCTGTAGCTGTTATTCGACAAAACTTCTCCTGGGGAGATGCAAGCCACTCCTGTCTGTTCACCGTAGATAGAGAACCCGTGACAGGCCAGAGTATGGAACCGCAACTTGGTGAGTCAGTGATTTTACTGGAGATCCTTACAGGATTATGAGTGAGGGGTTTCTCACAGGAGCAGAAAGACTCAAAAGACAGCCAAAGCCCACCCCAGCCTGGTGACGGCTCACAAAAGCTGGGAACCCGGAGCTCCCTGCCCAGCGTGCAGGCTGCTCAACAGCTGGACCCTCAACTTTTATTGCTCGCTCTGGGACAGTGAATCTGTTTTAGGGACTTCCTGAAGCTGTTTCCAGTTGTATACCTTCCTGCTGAAGGAACTTCCTGCAGGGTGGGTGGTCTGATCTTGGAGGAGGCTGGGATACGACAGTAAATCTGGAAGTTCCAGGATTTACAGCGTAGACCAGGCTGGCCTTGAACTTTCAGAGATACTCCTGCCTCTGTCTCTCAGGTGAGCACCATACCCTGCCTCACTTTAAAATAAATTCTTACTACATTTTTAAAATCTGGGTGACAGCTCACAAGGCTGGGAACCCGGAGCTCACTGCAGAGCTTGCAGGGAGCCCAGGATGTCAGAGAAAGATCTGGAGGCTCCTGCAATCCTGATCCTTTCTGACCCCAGGTGTTCCGACTCCGCACGTTGGAGAGGAGGAAAAGACCCTAGCTAATGTCGCTCTGGACCCCAGAGAAGTGTGTGGGAGAGGAGCGCCAGTCACTCCTGTCCTCCTCAGTCTTGGATCTCTTACACACCTTGTACCCTCACTGAAGGCTGGGACACTGCCTGAGACCAGGCCCACCTAATCCATCCACTGCCACTCTCCCAAGAAGCCCAGAATTCTTAGGGTTTTTTTTAGAGCTATGATTAAGTCCAAGGCCCATACATGCTGTGAGCTGAGCCATGCCCCAGACCGAGGAGCTCTGGAGCCTTTAAATCTGCAGGAGGAAGCACGGTGGAAGAGCCTCCTGCGTCCCGCATGCGGAATGAACAGCGCACAGTGTCCTCAAGTCCCGAGACCACCCCTAGCTCCTAGTGAGGTGGGAGGCCCCTCTAGAAGCGAGCTCCAGCCAGACAGTGGTGAGTTGCAGAGGTGGGTCCTACATACCAGGCCTCAGCCTCCTCAGCCTGTGCAAGGTAGCGTCCTCCTGCGCTGACCGGTCTGAATACCACGTCCTTGTGTCCCGTAAGAGTTCACGTGCTAGAAACTTGGCCCCCGATGTGGTGACGAGAGAGGTGGTGGGATGTGAAATCGGGGAGACAACTGGAAGGTGATTAGGTCTCTGGGGTGTCGCCCTGGGAAGGGACAAGTGCTGTGGACTGGCTGAGTAGGTCCCCCTGTGCAAGTGGTGAAGGCCTCCCTGACGCTGACGTGGTCACGTGACTAGTGCTATTTTTGTCCCTCTGCTGGTGAGGGGTCCTCCCCAGAGGCTAAAAAGGTGAGGCTGGAGGACTTTGGATCCGGAGCCTTCAAAATGATATTTTTCTTTATAAACACCCAGCCTCGGGCATTTTATCACAGTGTTATGAGAAAGAAGAGCACACCCCACTCTTGCCAGAGCGTACCCCATAATGAGAGAACCTTTCATGAGCATCTGCATCATGAGGAACTTAGTTAGGTACATCCTTCTGAGTGGAGCCTGGTGGTGTGAGCCTGAAGACTCCCCTGAGGACCGGATCCATAATGGAGCAGTAAGGCCCATGGCCTGAGGGCTGGCCACAAGGCAACTATTTGGTGACTGGTGTGGGAAAGGGCTTATGACTATGGCTGTGGAGCAGAACTACAGGACAGGTCCTGAAGCCCTAGGACCCTGGATTCCCCACTGGGCATGTCCACTGGGGAAGCAGCTGGGTACAGATCGGGGTAGCTGGCATTAGGATGAACTGAGGTCTGGATTTGCCCAGATCCCACACTTATTTCCAGCCTTCTTTGTTGTCTCTTCTAGGAGGGGCAGATGAAGCTTGGTGACAGGCCCGGAGGGGGCCGGTTTTATTTTTGTCCCATCCCCTCTAGATGGGACCCAGAGGCCCAAAGAACACATTACACGATTGGCCCACGACCCCAGCACCGACTGGCAGCCGGGATGGATTCTGCTGTCTGGAGTCTGCGTGATCCTCTGGCCCTACACCGTTCCGTGTTCCTGGGGCGTTCAATCTGGGAGGACGTGGACCTGCCTGGGGACCCTGTCCCATGAAGCTGACAGACGCTCTGGCTGCCTGCCATGAGCGAGGTCCCCAGGCATCCCCTAATGCGTGCTGTGGGGGCATTTTGACAGCACTGCAAGTGAGCGGTGGCAGTTCAGAGTCCCACTGGCTGTCGCTGCCGAACCCTCCAGCCCAATCAATCCCCAATCTCGGGTCCAAACAGTTCAGGCACCCCTGTGAATCGCAAGGTTTTTATTGTTGGGTTCCTGTTTTCAGACACCTGGAGGGTAGGGGAAGGGTTTGCTGCACCTGTGCAGGTGAACAGGCAAGTGGCTTCCTTGAATCTTCCTGGCAAGGATGCGCCTATCAACACTGATCGCTTGCAAATATCCTTTTCTGCAAAGAGAAAGCTGGGTGAGGCCTCAGAGGTCAAGGATACCTCATGCCCTACTAACCATACATGGGACACCCATGAGGGACCTGAAACCTTGTCTGTAATACCTCTTAGGTCTGACCAGGGCCAGGGAACCTCATCTCCATCCTGTCTCCTAACAAGCCATACCAAGGCAAGCCTTGTGCCCCAATCCAGCAAGATGGGAGGAGCCGCCCCGTGGGAGCCTGTGGGCAGCTGGGATGCCCTGATTCCTGTCACATGATGACCCTCAGCCATACCCAGCTGAGGCAGTGACTTATCCTACCATTTCTAGGGACCAGAGGGCAGTCACTTAAAGGTTCTGCCCAAATGTCCCAGACCTGGAGTTTACAAGTGGCCTTAGAGATGCAGGAAACAAGAAAAAAATAAAAATAGAAATAGAAAAAAAGCTGAGTGTTTTGGAGGGTGGGGTGGTAGGCCTGAAAAGTTGGCTGGAAAAGAGGTTCTGGGCCCTATGCTGGTGTGGTGAGACTTGGGAGGCTGGGCCAGAAAGGCTGGTGGAGGCCAAGTCGTGGCAAGAATGGAGTCTGGCTTGGTTGAGCTGAACAGCCAGGCCCTGCTCAGGCAGCCAAGTGTCCCTTCCTCCTGACATCCTCAGTCAGGTGGATCATATTTCTAGATTCACAGAGAAATGGCTGCCCTGGGGAGTAGCACAAGCCCCGCCCCCAGCCTGGAATGAGCAGGTTGGTAGACAGGCTCCTGGGCCACACACAGAGACTCACCAAAAAATCAAATGCAAATTGCTTTGCTTCCTGTGTCAATTGATCACACACACAGTCCTTCAGACCTTTAGCAGCGTCCAGTACCAAGTCATTATGCTGGTAATTTTTCACGAATGCCATATAGTCACTTGAAGACCCCAAAAGAAAAAGCTCAAGGTCCTTTTCAATGAGTGGGCATATCCCACAATCTGGAGCACAGAGACAAGGCACGGTCAGAACACATTCATCCCTCCATCCAGTCTGCTCAGAACACCCTGGGGAAGAAAGGGGGTGAAAACCCGAGACTCTGCATCCCAGACACCCACACTCCAATACTCACTTCCCCCTGAGGTCAGGAGCAGGGCAGCCCCGAGCACCAGCAGAGCACTGGGGAACTTCATGGTAACGGCCACAGGTGCTCCAACCTAGCTTGGGTCCATTTTATAACTGCCCTGGGCTGTTCAGTGGGCAGGGAGGGGCCGATTCTCAGCCCCTCCAGGCCCCTCCCAGGACACCGCTTGGAACTTCCTGGCGTTGTGAGTATGTGTGTCAGGGGGAGGTGTATATTTTGGCAAGAGCATAAGATCCTGCTCAACAAAGGGCCCTGGCTCAGCCTGGTCCCCTTCTTAATGTTCCTTTTTTAAGGTCATATGTCATGTGATGACAGAGGGAAGAGATGACTAGGAGCGGGGTAAAAGCCCCTGTAACCTCCAGAGTGAGGCCTAGGTTACACTGTCACAACTTGGGCACCCAGCATTTATTTAGAAACCTCACTAGTAGGCAATATGGAGGACAGGCCAGATGACAGACTGCTGGCCCTTTCGTGACCCCTGCCCTGTTTTTGGTCCCTGCTCCAGTCTTTCATTTGCTTCCTGGCTTCTCTTGAACCAGCCTCTTCGACCCAAAGTCCTTCTGCTGTTGTAGCCATCCTTCAGCTTGACCTTTTGCTATTGTTTGTTTGTTTGAGATACTTTCTATCTACCGAGCCCTGGCTGTCCTGGAACTATGCAGACCAGGTTGGCCTTGAACTCTTTCCACCTCCCTAGTGCTGGAATTAAAGGCATGTGCTACCATACCTGGCTAAACTTGACCTCTTAGACACGTGGTTGATGTTTCTGGGCTTTTTCTGAGACAAGATATTACCCAGGTCTTGAGATCATAATCCTCCTGCGAAAGTGTGTGTGTGTGTGTGTGTGTGCGCGCGTGTGTGAGTGATGTGTGTAATCTGTGTTTGTGTGTGTGTGTGTGTGTTGGATCCAGCTTTCCCTAGGGCTCATGGCAAACACAGCAGTGCACACCTTCAGTCCCAGCACTTAGAAGGCAGAGGCAGGCAGACCTCTGTGAGTCTGAGGTCAGCCTGGTCTACACAGGAAGTTCCAGGCTAGCCAGACTTACACAGTGAGCCCCTGTTAATAACTACCATTAGTGTGTTCTTTAAGTCCATGCCGAGAGTGCCTTGTGTTCCTTTTCTCACAACGAAGCAAAGAGGTTTCAGTTTGGAGCAACCTGGCCCACTAACTGGCCACTGCCGGACCATGCCTTGCAGCTCTAGCTGCTTTGATTTCCAGTCAAACAGCCAGCATGACTACCCCGAGGCCAGCTCCGGCCATTTTGAATACTCCACAGATATCAAGGTGTTGTAGCTGTCTTTGGCTACTTTGTGGGTTCTTTCTTCTCCTGCCCTTTCAACCCCCTACAGCTAGATACAAGGCAAAGAGAGCATAGAGAGGAAAGGAAAGAGACCCCCGAGTAAAGGTCAGGGGTCAGAAAGGGGGCAGTGCTATCGTCAGACTGCCTCTTGCTGGTTAGAGTCACTGAGTTCCTAGGGGCAAGTGTGATCAGGATATCTAATTTCTTCTTGTTGTTGTTTTTTTCCTTCCTTAACAAACCACAACTAACAGCAACTAACAACCAGACCAACCAAACACAATCCTCCCCACCTGCCGGGGGCCCTGGCCTGGCATTTATAAGTCCCCTGAAAATTTCCCAGACTTCCAAAGGTCGCACAACTGCAGAAACCATCTGCATCTGGCAAAATCACGCCCCTGCTAAAGCAGGAGGCAAATCACAGTCAGCTGTGCTGTGGACAATCTCAAGTAGCCCCACAGCCCCACAGCTGGGATTAACGAAAATGTATTCTTATAACGTGTATGTGTGTGTGTGTGTGTGTGTGTGTGTGTGTGTGTGTGTGTGTGTGTTTTAAGAAACCAAAATGCCCCTCATGCCCATGGAAGAAGGCTGCTCAGGCTTCCTCACACAGCTGGGCGACCCACTCATGCTGTCTCCCCTGAGGTTGCCACTTTAGGCCTCCTGAAAGGCTTCTGTTGAGAGGTCTTTTTCTTGTCCTGCTTTTAAGCGATGGAGGAGCCAGCAGACCTCGGAGCAAAGGCTGAGGCAGGGGCTTGGCAGCTGAGTAAGCAGTCAGCGGGCTGAGCTGTGAAACAGGCAGGTGGCTGGCTGTATGGTAGCCAAAGCATTGGACGAGGGGACAGGGCAGGAAAATGAGGGCTGGTGGACTCAAGAAAGAGCAGAGAGCAGGCTCCGAGGAAGGATGAGAGGGAGGACAGACTCTTCAGGCCGTGTTTGCCAGAAGAGGTCCAGGGAGCTGTGGAGTCTTTGCAGACTCCACCAGGGCCAAGAGCCAAGCACTGGTGAGTGCCAAGGAGGTCCGGCTTCCTGGCCACACTGTGGAGGTCGGCTGCAGCCCGGGTGGGGCTCTGGGTCCCACCATAGTGTGAGGACCGCTTCTTAGAGGGTGCCACCTGCCGCCCCCATCTGCCAGCTGCTTCCGCTCACGGCTGCCACACCTGGGGGGTACCTGGGGAGCACCCTTTTCCCCACCCACAATTTCTCTTTGTGAGTAAAGGGGTCCCAGACAGGTCCCTGGGGCCCACCTGCCTCAGCCCCCCACAAGCACGGCCCGCGCAGGTGGGAAGCACCCCGTCTTCACCTCATTTCTTTGGACTCTGCCAGTCACCTGGCCACTCTGTGGAACTTATCATTTTCCTGGCCCGCTTGCCACGAGGAGCATCTCTGTGACAAGGTGCGACACCCATTCCCCCGTTAGTATGACCCGAGCTGGAACCAGGGCCTTCGAGGGCTCTGCCCGAGGTGCCTGAAGCACTTGTTTCTCACCTGGCTTCGAGATTTGACGCCTGAACCCTCAGACTGCACCCAAAGGCACCACAGCAGAGGGTCAGCCTGCTAGGGTCTCAGCGGGGCCAGGCCACACCGGGACCCTCCTTGAGTCTTGTCCCCGGCGGAACCTCTGCCCTCTCGCTGTCTTCCACACATGCCCCTCCCCACGCCCCTGCTGCCCTTGTGCTCTGCACCGTGCATTCAGACAGCACGGCGCGGTGGCTACCTGGGCTTGCTCTAGGTTGGACTCTCATAGATTCCAGACCGTGAAGCAAACTAACATCTTTCCTGTCGATGTTGCCTATTCTCCGGTAATATCATGGCCACTGAACACAGATCACAACAGAGCACACGGACCCCCTGGACACAGCCGACCTCCACCGTGGCGCTGGCCCTAAGCCCTATTTTCTCTTCCCCGGCTCCTCTTGCGTTGGCTGGCTGCCTTCTGGGGTCCCTCGGAGGTCAAAGGGCTCAGGAGAGCAAGGTATAACTCTCTCCCAGGGACAATGCATGTCGGGATCTCCACAAATGCTGGTCAGGGGCCCGAGGGCTACCTCGCTTCCGTGAACAAGACCTTCCTTAAAACACCAAGCCGTCTTCCGGAGCACCTCAGGCTGGCCTCAGCTCTCAGCCCCCCTCCTCCCCGCCACCTGTTCATGTTATATAAGCGTCTATGTAATTTGGCTGGTGTTAATTTTTCAAAGTACAGACTGTAATCCAGAAATAAGAAGTTTGTTGTACAGGGCACTTGACTGTCCCTTCCTCTGTGTCAGCGGTGACAGAATGAAGTTTGCTGAAGACTTAAGAGAGGCCTAAGCCTTTGACTTCCAGGGGTTACCTGAGCCAAGCAAGATTTGACTCTGGTAACCGTTTTGGCAATTAGGTGCCAAGTCCTAAGACCTACTTGTGAGCTGTCCACCACATCCCCTGGTCTTTGCTTGAATGACCTTGAAGTTCCCAGGGCTGCTGAGGCCTCTGGCCTGCCCAGTGGGGGCTTTGCCGAGGGGGCGCTGTGTCTCCTGCTGGCCGACACCCACCGCACTCTGCTAGCCTGGCTGGTGTTTCCCTCACCAGAGCTGGGCCTAGGATCTGTGCAGATCTCACAGAGGAAGGTGCCTTGTCCCAACACACCAGACAACACATGGCATTTCACCCCGATTCATAATTATAAGCATGTTTCACCACTGGAACCATTCATGTTGTGTTTACTGTTTTCCCTTTTTCCGTGTGTACACACACACACACACACACACATATGCTCATTTGTGTGTGCTGACCCGTGGTGGACTGTGCTGGCTAGTTTGTTTGGGTTTTGTTTGTTTTTTTTGAAACAAAGGTTCTCTGTGTAGCCCAGGCTGTCCTGGAACTCACTCTGTAGACCAGGCTGGCCTCGAACTGGGAAATCGGTCTGCCCCTGCTTCCCAAATGCTGGGGTTTAAGGCGTGTGCCACCACCACCTGGCGATGTGCCACCTAGTTTTATGTCAACTTGACACAAGCTAACGTCATCAGAGAGGAGGCAGCCTCCACTGAGGAAATGCCTCCGTCATTTCCTGTAGGCAAGCCCGCTGGGCACTTTTAATTAGTGACTGATAGCGGAGGCCAGAGCCCACTCTGGGTGCCAACCCAGGCCCTGGGTCCTGTAAGAAAGCAGGCCGAGCTAACCAGTATGCAGCACCCCTCCGTGGCCTCTGTATCAAGCCTTACCTCCTGATTCCTACCCTGTTTGACTTCCTGTTCTGGCTGTCTTCAGTGGTGGGTGGTGATATGGAAGTATAAGCCAAACAAACCCTCGGCCAAGGTCACAGCAACACCAATCTCAGCTAAGGCACACGGCATATGGACAGGTAGGAGCATGGCCGCCAGAGAAAGACTATCAGTTGCTCTCCGCCATATGAATCTATGTGTGTACGTATGTTAAGTGTACATATGTATATACAAATACACACATATGTGTATTTCTGCACTTTTTTGAGATTTTATTTCTTTTTATGTTATGCGCATGGGGAATTTGCCTGCATGAAAGGCTTACGAGCTACACCTGTGCAGTACCCATGGCGGCCAGAGGAGGGCACCGGAGCCTCTGGATCTGGAGTTGTTAAATGCCGTGTGGGTGCTGGGAACCCCATCCGCACCCTCTTAGCGGCTGAGACCACCTTGTAGTTTTTGAGACAGGGTCTGTTACTGGGCCCGGAGCTCGCTAATTTAGCTAACCAGTGAGCTCAGGCTGGGCTCCCTGGTGCTGGAAGTTCAAGTCTGGCTTTTCTCATGGGTTCTGGGGGCTGAAATGCAAGTGTTCAAGTGGGCGTGGCCAGCACGGCACTGCCTGGGCTGCCCTCAGCCGCTCACACTAAAGGACTGACCGGAAGTTGAAGTCCCGAGAGGAACATCCTCGGGAAGTCTTCCGTAGGAGCACTGTCTTTCTTTCCTCTTTATTTATCTGCTCACCCGTCACTCATCACTCATCATTCATGCCAGCATGGGTCCATACAGTATTTCACAATTATGTTATAATCCAATAAGCATGCCCAGGCTTCCTTGTGCCAGTTTTCACAGACACTCGTGTGTGTGTGTGTGTGTGTGTGTGTGTGTGTGTGTGTGTGTGTGTGAAGGGTGTGTGAAGGTTGGTCAGGGGACAATTCTCAGAAGTTGATCCTCGTCTTCTACCAGATGGGTGTTCTGGGCTTTGAACCTGGCGCTCAGATGGGATTAGAGGGCATGCATCCACACTTCGATCTTTTCACGGGTCCTGGGGATCTGAACTGCAGTCCTTATGCTCTGCATGTATGAGAAGCACTTTCCCCACCGAGCCGTCTGCCTAGCTACCCCCGTTTCTGCAGGTGGCACTGTGGATGAGCCTCAGCGTGCTGCACATTCAAAACAAACAAACAAACAAACAACAACAACAAAAACCCAGCAGTATATTAGTGAACTAGTGACAAAAAGCCAGACATGAAGCGCCTTTTTTGCTCACAGTCTGAAGGGGCACAGTCCGTCACGGCGGGGTAGGCAGGCGTGTCCCAGGAACCCGAGGCGGTTGAGCTTGTCTGCCGCCGGGACGTAGCAAGGCATGTGTGCCTGTGCTCATCCTGTCATCTTTCCACTCAGGCTATGACCGTCTACCTGCCGTCCCGGTCGTCCGTCTCCCCGAAGACAGAGCCTGGTTGTAAATGCAGGCAGGACTGCCGTCAAGACTTAGCCCTCACACACCGCAGGCGGGGTGAGCCTCCCTGTCAGAGCTCCCTGTCCCCAGGAGTGAGGAGCACACCGGCCAGCTGACAGCCTCCTTCGTGCCACACGTCTCTTTTTCAGTGGTGTAGGATGGTCTGAGCTTGCGTCTACGCACACAGGCCTGACCGTGGGCAATGGAGCGCTCCAGTTCACAGGCACAGCCAGTGCTCGGTGGCCTGGGCGGCTGTGGACGACGGAGAGCTCACGGTACGGGGATCCCGAGTGCTGTCACTGCATGGACTCTGCTGTTCGGCCCTCTTGGAGACGTGCTTACTGAGGGAGGTGAAAAAGACAGGAGGAAGGAAGAGCAGGAATGGCGGTGAAGGGGAATTTGTGGCATGCAAACATCACCATTCCCTGATGACAGCCGAAGGACAAAACTCCGGGGACTACCCTGGCTGGGAGCCGCTGAGAGCCCCAAAGCCGGCCTCACTGTCCTGGCGGGGGGGGGGGGGGGGGGGCAAGTCCAAAGGCTTCAGCAGCTAAGATGTGCAAGGGGCCCAGTATGGCCCAGACACGCACACCCCTGCTCATGTCTTGAACTCAGGCGGATGCTGTGGTCTGGGCTATGGGCTCCTCACAGTGACGGAATCTCTCCTTGACTCCTCTTTATCTCCCCCCCTACCCCCACCACCCGCCACCCGTTTCCATCTCCATGCTTGAAGAGGACATGCTTGGGGCCAGGAGAGGTGAGGAAGAGTGTGCCCAGGAAGCAGAGGTGACAGGTGGAACAGGATGACAGGTTATTTGGCTCGGCATGTGGCCATTTAGAAAGGTCAGCTCTAAGCCCTCTTTGGCAAAGGTACAAGCACTTCTCTCCAGAAAATGATGGCATCAGGATGTCTCTGGCCATTTGTTGCTCGGAGTGGGAGGGGCTCCCACACTCACCCCCCCCCTTGTAAGTGCAAAGGGGATCCACAGGTGCTAGGTTCTTGCCCAAAGGTATTTGGAGCTCCCTGGAAGCAGGGGGGGCGGGGACTGGGCTCAGGGCATAGCGGTTTATAAGGTAGCAGGATCTGCTCTGAGCAGCGCATTTAGCACTCTCCACCATGAAGGGGATGCTGCTTCTGCTGGCCTTACTGGCGATGGGAGAGCTGGGCTTCCAGACAAGTGAGAGCAGGAGCAGACGGCCTCTCTGACCCTGGCTCAGCCCCATCTCGCTCCCGGATAGATTTCCAAGCGGCGCCCTGAGACAGATCTAGGGGGGCCCTGGGAGGTCACTGGCCAGCAGTCCTGCAGAGGACCCTTGAGGGTTTCTGCTCCGGGCTGTGACAGTTGGGGTGCAAGGTGAAAGTATGGCAGTGATGGTCCTGGGGTCGAGGGGCCCTGAGTTATGCATACAGCTGGAGCTGAGGCGGGTGTGGGATGGATGTGAAGGTCAGAAGTGTGCGTACACTCATGGAAACTCTCGTCTCTGGGAGGCAGCAGCTTTTGGGACAGCGGGACTGTGGGGGAAGGTCTGCTAAGACATTTGTAGATGTGGTAAGGGACCCTGAGCCTCCCCTTCTGCCAGCCGGGGGTCCCTGAATGAGGTTTTTCTGTCTGTGTTTGCAGCAGAAGCATGCATTCCTTTCCTGGAACTCATGGTTGCCACAGTCTCTGGAAACAGGCATTTCCTGGATTTGTCCACTGCTAAATTCAATGCTACCACCGAGGAAATCATGGCCTTCAGGAAAATCCAGGATTGCTACAATAATGGAGGACTCTGGAGGAAAGCTTTGGAACCCAATGTTATGGTAACTTCCTCCCTACCCCCACTCACCCATGCAGCATAGGGCAAGATGGTGGGTACCAATAGCCAACACACAGTCAGAAGATCTACGAACAGTCAGGGGATCTACCACAGAGCGCTCCAACCCTGGCCAACCCCAGCGCATGCCAACACAGCACTCGGGGGCCGCTCCCAGCCTGTTCAATGCAGGTTCCTGCATCCACTCCCACATGGTGGGTAAACTCGGGGTTCTTACCCATAGTAGGGCAGGCCGTGGAACTGGGGAGTTCTTCGTCTGGCTTCAGACACCCCCAGCTCTACTCTAAGATGCCTGAAACTCTGTCCAGCGTCACTTTCTCTGGAGCCTCCCTTGACTCTACTCCCCTGTCTCAGACGGAGCCCTCCTCCCATTGTCAGAGCCACAGCAAGAACCTGCCTCCGTGGCTCAAATGCCACCCGCACCCCAGGGAGCGCCTGCAGCTGCTCGCCACAGCTGCTCATTGCCCCCCTTGTCTCTTGTTTTAAGTATTGCTGGATCACAGAGATGCATGTTTTGAACAGTATGACTCTCACCCTGGTTCCCAAAGTGCTTTTAGTTTGAGTGTCAGGGCCTGCCAAATCATGGCGCTATCCAAAAGAGAATTTCTTCTAACACACCCGTAACAGGGATATCTTTAAAACATGGCCACACAGCTAATGTGCTAGACAGATGTCCTCAGACTCAGCCACCTTGTCCCATTTCCGGACCTAGCTCCCATCATGCCTTCTGGAACCATCTCCCCTCCCTCAACACCTGGCTAGGGTAGCTGTGGATGAGCTGTTCCTGCGGCTCCCGTGGGACAGAGTGTTGCTGGAGACCTGAATCACTGTGGAGAACTTTCTTCCCCGTGGATGAGAAGCAGCGTATCGTGGGTTCTTGGGGACCCCTGTGAGGTCCTGCACCTTGCCTGTAGTCACCTCTGTCCCTTTCTGTCTTTTTGTTTTCCAGAAAAAATTGTACTTCAGCAAAGAGTGTGTTGCCTTCTATGGCAATGATACCATGAAAGTAATTTTGGAGATTTTCCAGAAAATGATGGCTCATAGCAAACTTGTTCTCTCCTGAAGTTGGAATCCAGACACCTGCCCCCTCCTCATTCAGCCTGTTAGGCTGATTCTAATAAACACTTGCAGCTCTGTGCCCCATGTCTGCATGCTGTGTGGGAATCATGTGACGTCTTCAGGAAATCTGGGGGACAGTGAGAGGAGCGGGTGACTGCCACTGACTAGCCGGGTAACCACGGGAAGGCCATTGCAGACTGTTGTGGTGGTGGTGGTGGTGGTTGTTACTATGAAGACCAGGCTGGCTTCGAACTCACAGAGATCCACCTGTTTCTCCCTTCCGAGTGCTGGGATTAAAGGAATGCGCCACCACACCTGGCTTAATGCAGCTTTGTGAGACTGTACGATGAGGGTTCTCTAAGGGCAATGTAAGCGTGTAAGCGTGTAAGCAGCCACAGGGTTCACCAGGCTAGCAGGACAGAAACGAGGCGCACAGCTCCTCGCTCATATGTTGCCCAGGACTGCCGGCTCCCTAGTCATAACCTTGGAGCGACTCAGGCGACGATGTGAGTGGGCTCCTGCTAGCGACAGTCACGGTTTGTCCCAGCCTGGTCTACGCAGCAAGCCCCAGAACTGCAGGCGAAAAACAAAAAACAAAACTTTATAACAAACAACAAGAAGTAAACGGGTGACGAGGTCAGGAGGGCTGGGAAGCCTCAGTGGGCAGGTCGCTTCTGTGCGTCAGTGGGGACCGGAGTTCAACTCCCAGAGCCCGTGGGGAGCCAGGCTTGGGAGCTTATGTCCATAATCCCAGCGTTCCCATCGAGAGACGGGAGGGGACAAGTGAATTCCCAGAAGTCTGTGGGCCGGCTAGCCCGGAGTCCACCAGGTCAGCCAGCCAGCCCGAGACCCATCTTCAACATGCCCTGGTGACCTCCGGTGCACCCTGCGGTCCCTCATGCCCTCACTCACAAAATAACAGCCGAAAAGGAGAGGCACGCCAAGCTGCACAAGCAAAAACCACGGTCGCCGTTAGTTAGTGGTGGGGGTGGGGGGGGGGGATACAGAATAATAGCGCGAGTAAAGAGAGAGGCAGAAACACAGAGGGCTCCCTGCACTCAGCTGGTGAGCACGGCGAGAAGCTGCTAGTCCGGCCGCCGGCTGAGCGCGCAGCCAGTGCACGGCCCCTCAGTGTGCAGCGTAAGGGCGCACGCCGTCCCGGACCGCAGAGCGCTCAGTGTCCCGACGTCACAGCTCCTAAGGCTCCCTGGGGAAGGCCGGCTGGCAAAGAAGTGACCCCTGAGTGTATGGACCCAGGCCAGTGTCTTCCCAAAACAACACCTTAGGACCAGGCGTGAGCATAACCCTGAGACCTGCTGGGATCCTTCAAGCCAGCAAACCCTAGAGCTGTTTCCTCTGCCCGGTGGGACCCCTGAGGAGAGGGCGGGGCTTCCCGCCTGTGCTTTCCTGCCTCCTGATGACCCTGGTCCCTCACATGGGTCCGGGTGGCTCGTTCTCTCAGGACGTGCAAGCGCTGCGTCCTTTCTCTGCCCGTCTTCCTGGCATCACGTCTAGAGGGTAAAATCTCGCCTGTGGAGACGAGACACCCAGGCCTTTGGTACTGACTCACACCAGAGACTAACTGGTTCGCAGCAGCTTTATTTGGAATGGTCCCCAACCGGAAGGCAGCTAAAGGTCCCTTCACAGATGAACGAACCAGGGGCTAGTGATGCGGGGGAAAATGCCCTAAAACACACAACCACGAGCTCCTCTCTTAATGGAGAGATCAAAGACGCTCATTTCATTTACGCGAACTTCTGAAAGGGGAAAACAGATCTCTAGAAACCAGCGAATGCTGGAATGGGCAGTTAGGAAAGGAGCCATTAACACAGGGAAGGAAGGAGCGGCAGGAGCAGTCAAGACGTTCATCGTCATGGCTGCGGTGACTTCATGGGTTTATGTATTAAACAACTCCTACCGTGCCAGGCAGCAGCGGCACACAGCTTTAAGCCCAGCAATCGGGAGCCAGAGGCAGGTGGATCTCTGTGAGTTCGAGGCCAGCGTGGTCTACAGATACAGAGTGAGTTTCAGGACAGCTGGGGCTACATAGAGAGACCCTGACTCAAAAACAACAACAACAACAAAACAGAGAAACAAACAAGAAAGCCTCCCACATTTTATACTTTATGCACAGTGGGGCACACCCGTTCCACCCCATTTCTACCCTGAGAGCCACCGGATGCCAGCGGTCAGACAGCTTCAACCGAAAGTGGCCTAACTCTGGGAAGGGACTTGTGCAGACTAAAAGCTCAGCGGGGCCACTGACGCTTCTCCCACGCCTGCCACCATGTTTTCTTGGGTGCAGTTGGACTTCCCAGGCCACCTCGTGAGTAGTTCATTGTGAGGGAGCTCCGCAGAGGGGACAGTGAAGAGGAGCGGGCCTGAGAAGTTTGGTTAGCCCGTGCCAGAAGACAGAGGTGAACGGGCAAGCCAACAAAAGGTAAAGGGTGCTTCCAGGACACAGGCACACCCTGCCTTGGGGCGGCGGGGGTGGGGTGAGGTGGGGTGAGTGAGGCGTGGGAAGTGAATGAATGAAATGAGCCTTGGCCCCTGTCCTTGGGAAGAAACGCTAATGGGCAGAGGGCAGTTCCACCGCTCACTCTCCTCCCACGGAGCTGGTCGCCCTCCAAGGGCTGTGCTGTAGGAGCTGAGTCACATCTTTCCGTCACCCAGGCTTGTTCCTCCAGCCCCGGCTGGACAAGTGCACGAACCTCAGGAAATAGGGCAGGCAAGTGGACTCGGGAGCACTCGATGACCCTCCCCACGACAGAGCACGAGGCCGGAAACTAGTAATGAGAAGCTTCAAGGGTTAGGGCTGCAGCTCGGCAGTGGAAAACTTGCCTAGCGTGTACTGGAGAGACAGAGATGGGAGAGAGAGAGAGAGAGAGAGAGAGAGAATGCTTAATGGTTTCCGAAATCACCAAGAGAAAAAGGTCAGCTGGAGGGGAGCGGTGGAGCGTGGGCAGAAAGCACAGGTCGGGCCAGTGTCCTGCCAGGATGAAGGTTTGCCTGCTGGGAGCTCTGGGTGGTTGGAAGACTCCCATCCTGGATCATTTCCTGGCAGGCATAGGGGCTACAGGATGAGGGGCGACCTCTGCCCACCCGCCACCCGCAGCACCGGTGCAGGGAAAACGAGAAGGAAGAAGGCTCCATAGATGACTGTGAGAGGCAGAGCAGTTCCTGGAAAAAGGAAAGGGCCCGGGCCAGCAGGCGAGAGAGCAAGAAACATACTCAGTGAGGCTGCAGGGCAAAGGTCTCCAGCGTCGTGTCAGGGTACAGGTGTAGTGGAGTATCAAGCAGCGCCTTTATGGGTGCCCCTCCGAGTGTCCTGGCTTACCTCACAGGAGAGTACCAGGCTGGGGCCCAGGCCACCCTGCTCTTCCTCCTCCCGTTGGTCATCGAGTCACCCACATCCAGCCAGTCACACGAGCAAACTCCATCTGCGCACAGGCCTGACATGAAGGTCCCATTCCACTCCTCACCTTGCTCCCCTTCCCCAATCTGCTTCCCCTGGACCCCACAAATCCAGGCTTGCCTTTTTCCCTTGGTCCTGGGAACATACGCGCACGCCCCTTCAAGAATGTCATTCTGCAGACCAACCCTCCTCCACTGGTCTCATCTCCCACCCGCAGCTGCCCCGAGGCTCACATCAAAGGCATCCTGAGTACTTGGGGTGCATAGCCATGGCTGCCATCCTTTAGCAGACCTGCCCAAAACTTGCGGAAGCGCTGCCTTATCCCTAGTGTCATTCTCAGCCTTCAAGATCTACTGGCAGCTGGTGAGTCCCTGAGTCCTTTCCGACTCTACTCACACGCCCTAACATCGCAGCCATCAAAGCTGATTCCCTGCCCTTCGGCCTTCACCAACCCTTTACCCGAGAGCTTGTCTACCAGCCCAAGGGAAGGCCTCCAGGCCCCAGCAAGGTTATCTGCTACACTAACTCCAGGGTCGTCTGTGAAAACATAAAAATGTGCTAGGTAAGCATAAAATTATGTTGCCGGACGGAAGATACATTTCCTATGGGAATCAGCTTCCTGGAAGTCCCTGGCAAAAACCTTAACATGGCCATCTAAGCCAAAAAGACGTATTCTGAGGGTCCCACGCTCCCTCGGTTGCGAGATTGGATTAATGAGCTTTTTTGCTGTTTCTCTATGATTCTTGGAACAGCACAATTAACTATCCAAGGAAACACATCGCTAATAGATTACTCAAAGCTTTAGAAAATAAGAGTAGAAGGAAAATAAAATTTTAGGAGAGGTGATAAATCAGATTCAGCATCAGGAATTGCTTGTGGAAAAACCAGACATTGTAGGTAGTAAAGGGACAAGAGTTTGAGGGCTTTCTAAAGAAAATGTTCTATCAGGATCTGTTAGGATAAATGCTCTAAATATTCCCACTGCAGTAAAGCTACTACAAAACCATTACCTAACACAGATGTTTATGATGAGGCAAAAAGAAGATAGGCAAACATAGAAGGCCAGAGAGTTTTGTATTATACTATAAGTTTTTACAGACAGGCTAGCTCAAGCATCTTATCTCTAAGGAAAGATTGTAAATCCTTAGTAAGACAAACAGGAGGAGTTCCCCTCAGTGCTTATCTCCAGGGGGGTTGTAACCTTTAGCCGACCTAACTCAGAGGATTATTAACAGCCCCTAATTAACTGACAATAAACTACGCAAACAGGCCACAAGTTTAACAAGCCCCTGGCCCTCTACTCGCTAAATTAGCAGCAATAACACTATGTAAATAAGGCACTAGTTCTATGTTTGCTCTGCTTAAGAGGCTGTTAGGCCAAGATTTTTTGTAGACACTGCTTCTACTAGGTTACTCTTTCAGTTAAAATGTAAACTTCGTTTATATTGTTGGTAAAAAGTCTGAATGCTCCGGGAAATATGTCAACTTCAGGTGCTTCTTTATGTAATCACTATATAAGTGTTGGCTTGACTTCAGTAAAGCGCAGCAGATGCAAACCAACACTACTTGGTGTGGTCTCTGTCATTTCACCTACCTGTGCCTTCCTGATATCTCAATTCCTTGATTCTCCGGTGGGTGAGGGACTACCGGCTGGGTCGGTCCTCGGCAGTTACCACAAAAGTCTGGGCACAAAAATCACAGGTGAGGTCCCCTGCCTTCACCCTACTGTCACCTTGCTTTCAGACCCATCCCATGACCAGCATCTCTTGGCAGCCTTGGTCCCCTGCCAAACAGCCCAGGAACATGGCTTAACCATATCTGTCTTTGTGGCTCCCCTCGCAGCCTGAGAGATGCGTCCAGTGTTCCTGAGCTCATCCTCCCCCCTTCCTTGCTCCCAGCAATGCCACCACCACCCCTGGATGCTTTCCTTTCCTAAATGTAACCACCTCCTACCTCTAGCCACATACAGGTCGTTGACACAGGAATGCCTCCAGCTGGAACCTCTGTCCTGAGCTCCAGGCTTGTGTCCAGCCATACGCTCAAGGCCTTCACACCGAGTTCTCTAGAACAGCTCATATTCCACATGGCCACTGGCCTACTTCTTAACACTCCTTCTTAAAAACAAAAGGACCCCCAAAGCCATCCAGGTGACTTTTCCAGGTCAGCTGACAGCATTTCCTTCTTTCCTTTGGGCTACAGACACCAGAAGCCCCAGGTGGGCCCTGTGTCCTCGCCTTGCCTCAACCTCCACTGGGCTGTCTAAGAGGACCACTCTTGGAAACAAATCTAGAAGCCGTCCATTTCTCCTGTACCTAAGATCACAGCGAAGATGCAGCCTGAGCCCTGGGCTGGCCCTCACTGGCCATGGGCCCAGAAGCTCCTCTCTCCTGCCTGTCATCTGCTCTCCACGCTGCAGCCAGAGGAGGCACACCGTAACCCGGTTCTGACGATGTCTCCCCTCAACTCCAAAGCTTCCTCAGTCACTAATAACCCCACCCCCACTCGGCAAACAAAGGCTCAGGTCCTCAGCTGCCACTCTAGGACTGAATCCTGCGTCTCAGCTCTGTGGTCCCGCACACTGACCGCCAGCTCAGTCTCGCCTCAGCATTTGCCCACAGGAACTCAGGTGCCTGTGGTACTTTCTAAAGGACATGCTGCTGGTGGCCACATACTGGGATGTGTTCGTTCGGCTGCTGTGTTGGATTCAGTATCCTGTGTCTATACAGGGTCCAACTGCCGGAGATGAAGGCGTAGAGCCCTAGTGTGCACATTCTCGTTACCATGAGACCTGGGTATAGACGGGCAAGGTGAGTGTGAGACACCCTCCGCTTGCCTGTGCCTAGCTCGTGTGTCCCTGCAGCCATGGAAATGAGAGGAAGGAGTGAGACTGTGAAGTAACCCACACGGGGCCAGCCAAAGCCCTCAAGTACCCCGTCCCTGCCCTGGAGCAAGGTGACCTTGGGTGACCAGGACTTTAGTATCTTCATCCCTAAAATGGAAATGCAAATGCCAACAGCCTCAGGAAGCCCGTTCCTGTCAGGGTGTGAGCTCCAGTCAAAGGCAAAGTACGGGCTATTGTGGCCTGTAGGATTAGCGTTTCCGCGAAAGCTGTCAGCACATAGGTGGCGATTTCTGAAATTACTGGATGCGTGCTGTACCGCAAGTACTCCTGAGATCGCAATATCCGGAACCTCAGCCCAGGAACACGCTCCTTTGTGGTATATTTGGGAATAAGCCCAAAATGAAGGAATTTCGTATTTATCAGCCCATCCGTTTCCTCCCAGTATCTGTGAGCTTCGAAGTCACACCTCTGACAGACTGCAGACGGACAGACTGGCTAGAACGTCCCAGAAGTAACACCGCTGACTGAGTCCCGAGATTATACTGAGCTGTCTCTAATGCTCTAAATAGCCATTTACTACTGGCCTCTGTATCTGCTTTAATATCTTCGTGATTTCGAGGTGGAACTTCCGGAACGTGTTATCTTCCGGATCACTAGCTAAGAAAGCGACATCTGCCTCCTGCTGCTGCATCCCGTATACCTTCCCATCAAAGTATTTTGGCAAAAGCAATGACTCCTGACTCTCCTTTGGTTTGTAGGTATAAAAGGCCAAAGAGAGGGCCCGGTGGTTAAGCTCTTCCAATGGGGCTAGTTCAATTCCCAGCACATGGCAGCCCACAACAACCTACATTTCCAGTCTCTGGGGACTGAAGCCCTTTTCTGGTCTCCAGGGGTGCTAGACGTCACGTGCACAAACACAAGTTGGAGCAAAACATATACATACATGTTGCATGGTATTAGATCTCACTATGAATCCCAGATGGTGTCGTTTAGTGGAAAAAACCTATTTGTAGCTGTGGTATGGTAGGGCTCAGCCCTTGCACATGCCTTTAATCCAAGAGCTTTCTGCTTGAATATTGTAAACAGGATTAAATAAAGTTAGCCCTAGGTCAAGAGGCGGAGCAAGCAGCCATCTGACAGAGGGTGAACATAGGGGAAAAAACCATAGAAAGTATGAGGAGGTCGGGATAGATAGATAGGGACATTTACAGGAAGTAAAAGGGAGGGACGTGATTCTTTTTAATAGGCATAGTGGCTTTCTGTACCCACTCAAAAATAAAAAAAAAGCTTAGAGATACAGAAAGAGAAAATTATGAAAGGTGGATCGATAAAATACAAGCCTTACACTCATAAATGCAAATAAGAAAAATACTCAGACCCAGACAGAGGAATTTAGGCAAGAACCTACCGTGCCACCGCACCGTGAAACTGAAGGGGGATGGCCCAAGGTTGTTAGAGAGCCAACTGTGGTTTATCCAGTCACCATGCAAGAACTGCCGGCAGACGATAGACGCCCACAAGGTAGTGAAGAGGTTAAATGAAATCCTACAGACGTATTCGGTGGAGGAGATTTAAAGAAGCGATCATTTCACATGGAATCCATTCACCCTAGGTGAAAACAGATATTAAATTCATGGGCAACTCAGAACAGAACTATCCCCCAAGAGTGGAAACATTTTGTAACAGCAAGATTGGGAGCTGATCCTTCAGTTACAACGGCAAACACGGTGGAAAGAGGGATTTAAGAACCATGACCTAGGGCCAGAGGTATGATATTCCCCAAGATCGTCTGCTAGGTGAAAGTCAAAGGCAGCTTGAATCTGATGACCACACTTAGCACCTTCTAATGCTGGGGATAAGGCTGAAGACTCTGGAAAGAGGTCTGAGTCATTTACTGAGATTATACAAGGCCCAAAAGAAGCCTTCACTGATTTTTTTTTTTTCAAAAATTGACTTCAGCTGTAAATAGAATAATATGAGATTCACAAGTTGGGAAAATACTAATCAAATCTTTGGCTTTTGAAAATGCTAATTCAGAACACAAAAGGGTGACTAGATGTTTACAGGGAGGATCAGCACCCATAAAGGAATGGATCAGAAACAGCTGATATTGGGCCTCATGTTTACCACGCCACTCTGATAGGAGAAGTCATTTCTGAAAGGCTTAGGAAAAATCAAAATGTTAGTTGTTTTAATTGTGGTGAGCCAGGTCATTTGAAAAGGGATTCTAGGCGAGGCATCCCTAGAAATAATGCTTATTTCTAGAGATAATCCAAAAATAACGTCCCAGGCATCTGGAGTATGCACAGGGTATGGCAAAGTCCAGCACTGGACTAACAAATGTAGATCATCACGAGACATACAGGGCAACACATTGCCATCAGGAAGTGCCAGAGGGGGCTCCTTCAGGGCCCAACTTGATTCAGCCATTCCCTGCCAGCACGGGAGGAACTCGTCCCCAGAGCGGCTAAAAACTCTAATGCCTGTCATTCACAACGCTGCTCTGCATGTAATCAAGACACAGCTTCAGGGGATAAAACAAAAAAATTCAGGAGAGACCACAAGACAAGTATTTTGGAAAACTGCTATAAATGATCAGAGACCAAAGCTAAAAATACAAGTAAATGACATTGAAATTGAAGGTTTAGTAGACACAGGAGCAGATGTAACAATGATTTCACCCAAATCCTGGCATCCAGATTGGCCTCTTCAGGAAGGTAAATATTCAGCTCCTAGGGATTGGAACTTTAGCTCAGGTAAAACAAAGGGCAAGATGGGTCGAGTGTATAGGACCAGAAGGACAAATAGGAAAATTAAAGCCATGTATGGTTAATATATCCACGAATTTCTGGGGACATGATTTGTTGCAGCAATAGAAAACACAGATTAACATTCCTCCGATCTCAGAAACAAACCATAAAATGAAGAATGCTTCTGAGAAAACTATTGAAAGGTATTTTAAGAATAGTCACAGACTGTCCAGGTTGTCTCTGAGCAGAACACATGAGCTGCAGAGAGACCCTGGATAATATTTTAAAAAGCTGCTTTATTAAACCAACCTGTATATTTTTTAAAAAATGTGTTGACCTCAGAATGGAAACTGGGAGATGTGGAACATTGAGGAAGAAGTTTTGTGTCTGTTTCCACGGACACAAAGAGAAGAAAAGCTGTGGGTACCATCAAGATTGATAAAGATTTCATTTGAACAGGAGAGATTTCCTGTTGTAACTTGTTTAAACTCTATAGCCCCTCTATTGAGACCTACTTCACTTCTTAGCATAACTGTGGCTCCTCTGTTAACACCTGCTGTCGCCTTTAGCGTATCAGAAGCCATTTTGCCTCCAAGTCTCTATTTTGATTATAAGGTGAAATTAAATTCAAGTTTTCAGGCTCTGCCTTCCAATGACTCTATGGTTTCATTTCTCAAACTTTGTATACTTTGTTACCTGGACATTCTGTGAAGTCCCCCAACTGCAGAACCAATCAAATTAAAGGTCAGTCAGAAACGCTTTGTCTAGCTGGTCAAGATGATGTAACGTTGAGTCCTTCACCTGGATACATGGTTGCAGTTTTGTTACTGCAACTGGCTATGGTTAGTTTCCTTCACCTGGTTACAGTTTTGTTACCTAGTTACATTTTGGGTTTTTTGTTTGTTTGTTTTTGTATAAAAAACTTGCTTTAGGAGCAGACCAACTTTATAGTCTGGCTGCCGAGTCCAGATTATGGCCCTGACTGGTCAGTTTTCGTTCAGTATTCAATAAACTTCTATGAGTCTGAGTCTGTTGTCAAGCGGTCAGTGTGCAGCTACTCCTGAGCTTATAACAAGTTCATCAGACAGCTTGGTTCTTCAGTCCACGCTAACTTACAAAGACTAACATGCCTTTCATGTGAGCAGGCATGAAAAAATGAAAACAAAAAATAATGTTAGCAAATGTACACTTACCTTACTGGCATGAAACGAAAAACGAGTTTTCTTAAACAACGTGTCTTAATTCCATGTTAGAATGTAGAATTTAAAAAATTTCAATCAAAAGATATTTTTTTTTCTGTTGCCAAAAACCATTTTGCCCTAGGAAAGACATAACCTGCCTAAAAAGGAAACCCCCAGACTTAGCGTTGGGGCAGGGTTTTGCTTTTAGCTTTCCAGAAGAATGAAAACATCCAACTAAGGAATCCAGAGACTACCAGACAAGTGAAACAATCTGAAGAAAAAGAACAGATCATCAAGAGACAATGTCTCAAGGGGGGAAAAAAAGTCGTTGGTGAAGTGGTATCATCCACCTCCACCTTGTCTCTGCTGCCCTCTCCAGACATAAATTGCAAATGGTCTTTATGTGGCCGTTTATTTAAAATCTAAAGTTGGTTTTAGGGTTGAGCACAGCTCTTTCCTTCTCTAAACCCACGCATGCTTGTTAAAGAAAAATCCAAAATCTCTGTCTATCACCAGAAGAACCACCTGGCATGGGACAGAGGGGGGAAAGAAAGGTTCTGTTTTATTGCCGCTAATCTCATAATCCTTTGGTTTTCATTTTACTCTTTACAACTTTTTGTTTGTTTGTTGTTTGTTTTTCGAGACAGAATCTCTCTGTAGAGTCATACAGAGCACTAACTAATTGTCAAAATAGCATCATCCAGCTTTCTGTACGCGCTCTCGGGTTTGAGTCTGCAGCAGGAAACTACAAACAAAGTTTGTGTACCTCGGATGTACTTAAATAGGTTCCAGTCCTCAAACCTGTCTGAGCTCTGCTGAGCATCACATTTAAAAGGTTTAACTTTTCTACCATTCCTGATGGTAACCTTTGAGGTCTCCAGGAAGACGATGGGGTCCCGGAAAGGTGAACCCGCTTGGATTTTGGCACTGCTAACCACTGGGTGAAACTCGCCCATGCCTCTTTTGCAACAAAAAAAGAACATTTCCAG